CTAAGTCTTATAACTTGCACTTCTTGGAATTTAAATACTGCCATACATCACGGATTGCAATTGTATAATCAGTTATTTATTTTTTCTAATTCTCATATCTAGCATATTAATATACCTAAGACTTATCTTGTGAAAGAATATGGCTTTTCACAGTATCATGGCCAACCTTATTCAATCTAGGCCAACTCTTATAACCTCCCTCAATCATTGAGCTCAACTGACTTTCCTCCTAGTTAGATGTCTCTGCATCACTTGACTCTATAATTATTGTTATAAATAATTAGTTATTATATTAATCTAAAGCTAAATAGACTAGTAACAAGCCAAAAACATACCTATATTATCTACATTGGACCTACTTTCTTCATTCTCCTGTACTTGGAGCTTTTTTCTCAATTGTCATTGTGTCTGACGATCTGAGCTTTTGGCTTTAGGACTATTCTCAATGGTATTGGAATCTATTGGCTCTGGCTGGTTGTCATGAACATGGCTTGGCATGGAAAAGGTTTTCACGTGACACATGGTTATGAGTCACAGGTATGTTATAGTTTTACGCATATGACCCATTCGGGTTATATGATTTGTTATGTGTGGGATTTGTGATGCTTTTGCACATGGCTCAAGTATGAGTCATGGGACGTGCGCCTGACGAATATGCCTTGCGAGTGTGCCTTGCGGGTAAGCCTTGCACATATGATTTATGTTTTGCACATGACCTCGTTATGAGGTCATGGGTTTCGCGCATATGACTCAGTTGAGTCATATGACTTGTTTATTACGTTATGATTGGTTTATGAGTTTTTGCACATAACCTCGTTACGAGGTCATGGGTTTTGAGCATGTGATCACTTTGGTCACATGACTAGTTTGTTATGATTTGGTTTCACGCATGTGACCACTTTAGGTCACATGACTAGGAGCAGGAAGAACACTATATAAGGAGGCCGAGGCGGCCGAGGAAGATAGGTTCTTCACGCTTTGTTCTAAGTACTTTTCCTACTTATTACTTTAACGAATATAAAACATCTTTACGATCTTTATCTTTATTGCACCATTATTGTTACGCCAAGAAAAGTCCTTCACTAAGACGAGTTAGAGAAAGCTTACGATAGGCATTCCCAATAGAAGACAAAGGTCTTATACTATCGGTAACATAGGCAGAGGCCTAGAGCTATCGTAAGACAAAGAAAGAAGAAGACAGAAAGAGAAGTATCGTTCCCCGTCGCCAAGAACTAATTATCCAGAGAGGGATCGTTACACTGGTTAATTGTTACTTGTGCATCATTCTCCTCTATAATGTCTTACTAATATTAGCCACTTTCTTCTATCAAATTACTTTATTTTCATAGATTAACTTATCTCCACTATTTAAAACAAGAGGTTATTCTACATCTTACTCATTACCACTTACTGTAGTATCATTTGAATCTAGATTTGAAGGTTGGTTATTAGTATCTTGACCCAAAGGCGGCTGACGACCAGGGCTGCCAACATGCCGATGTAATACTATATTTTTCTTTGGTCTTGTCATCTAAAGATTCTCTATAGAGTATTAACATCTATAATTTTAAAATGATATACAGACTACCTACTACTGCCAGATATACTTCTAATTGATAGCATATTAATGGACTTCCACTTATTTCTGAAGTAGAGCTTAGTATTAACAAAAACTATAGGTTTATTATTGGTAAAGTCCTACAGGGTACTAGGTTTATCAGGTATTTTGTACTCGGGGGTAAGGGTAAGTTGGGCGCGGAAGCACAAACCTCAGAGTTCACTAGCCCATTTCGGGTGTCGCCAGCCTATTTCTGGGTGTCGCCCGACTTTTGTCTGCCATACAAAAAAACTCCACAAAAGGGAATTCGCTGTATGAAAAACCCAGTTCCCGTATATGGGTGTCGCCCGCTTAAGGTACCCCCCGAGTACAAATTTGTTGGAAGGCTTGGCAGAAATATGTAATTACTAATCCAGATAGTGCCCTATCTTGGCACTTAATCTGTGGCTGTGCATAACATTTTTTCAGTTTCTTACCAAAACTGCTCAATTTCAAACAATTATACACAACTACTCAGCCATCTGAGGAACTTAAAATATCCTCTATATTGGAGAGAAAAGGAAGGAGAATAACTTAGAAGATATTTCGAGTTTCTTGGGTGGCTGGCTCTAATGGCATAATTGTTTAAAAATTGCTAAATTCTTAGTTCAGATTTTGGTCCGCACGAATCATACTTTATTATATGATAAATAGTTGTAGTCCCTGATTACTCTAGTGTAGGATATAAATATTAAGGTGTCATACCTCCCAAGCTTTCAAGACATCTTCAAGTATCAGTGAAGAAATCTTAATAGTATAATAAGTTCTCTTGCAAATCTTTATTTCTTTATTTTATTTCTCTGCCAGAGTGTTATCAGTAGTTACAGATAAGAAGATTGTTACTGAGTCTTCCTAAATAAATCCCAATCCATTTTAAAGATTCAGGCTTAAGCCTCTCTCCATCTGTTATAAGCTAGTTTCTATCTAACAAGGGACATAACTGAAATCTTTAAAACAAAATAAATTGAATGACAGGTTTCATTTTCACAATTGCTCCTAGGATTCTATGATGAGATTTGTTTTTACTAACTATTCTAAGATGCCCAGATTCGTGGTGCCTCGCTGAGGGCTCACACGGTTTAGGTCAAACTCCTGGCATGTATGATACTGTATGATGATATAGGTTGACATTCGCTTGATCGAGTGGCATCTTCAAAGCCCTCGTTCTGAGACATTGCAACCCAGAAAAGCAGCTTCCGACTATCTTTGTTTGCCGAACCTGGATCGACATCAGCTCGGTCGAGCATCTTTGCACCCGCTTCAGTTCTGGAATGGGAGCCCCAGGAGAATGGTCTTATGTCATTCATGTCTCCGAAATCCGGGCTGATATCGACTCAGCCGAGTAGATATCGTAGTGTTCGGCCAACCTGGTCCTCGGGGTAAAGGCCGAAATAGTTGGCAGAAAACATACGAAAGGGACACCAGTCCGATTTATGACCTAGTCAACCGTCCGACGGCGTCCATCGCATCGCGCCCTAAGTCATCATCCTATGATACTATACATTCTAGTTGCGCATTTATTGATATCCTCCCCACTCGGCTGTGTTGTTTCAATGCTAATTCACCTCGCGAAGTACCTGTCCAGTTCCGACCAGGTATGTGATCTACCTGTTAGGAACAGCGGTATTAGGGGATTTTCAGGTAATCTACTCTACTAAGCTGAAGATCTGGGTTCAATCTTCTACCAGAAACTTGTTCACTGTATCGAAGCGAACGATTCTCGGCTAAAGGATGCAAGCACCTGAATATCTCGATAATCATGTTCATTTGGGTAGCCTACCCCCCAAGATGCTCCTTGTTTGCCTCAAGAGATGGTAAATTTCTCGGGGATCTCAAGTAGCCTGGACACAAGTTGTCTCAATTGACCCCTTATCATGGCTATAGTGACCTGTTCCTTCTGTCCTAGGTAGTCGGAGAATAGGGGTGTAAACCCGACATTTGATCCCGCTCTGCTGCTAAAGGTGTGAGCACAACCAACTGCACTGAGGATTTCCCACCTGTTCAGTTACCGGTAGTCTACCTATGCGATGCCTTAGGGGGGACACGGGGTGGCAGTCGTGAGATACGGTTCGGTCTGGGCGAGCTATTACAAGATTACAACCTCGATATCTTACCATGTTTACGCAAAACTAGTTTTATCGAACCGAGCACACACGTGCCTTGGAATGAAAAAATAAAGTGGAGACGGGACAGTTTGGATTTTGCTCATACCAGTGAGTTGGAATACTTCCAGTTTAGTGTTTTCCAGCTTCCCGGTGCTCCTCGATTTCAAGTGCCCAAGTTGTCTTTCTGTCTGGACTTGGGATTTTATGAATCCTAGAACCCGAAATCATGGCTAGGAGGGACGGGGGTGACGCCTGTCCGTAGCTTGATAGTGACCTAGAAAGCCTGCCATCTTCGATAAGTTAGGTGTCTTACATCTTTCAAGCAAAGCCGTTAGGCTATATGAAATGTCATTACCATAAGGTATATAAGTTGTTATACCCGACTCTCAATAGCAGACCAGAATAAGAAATCTCTGGGCCCACTACACTCCCAAATAGCCGTCAAAAGTACCGTCGAAGGAGCCTCTAACAATGCGACCCCCACCAGCAATAGAGATTGAAGGTACGAGCTCTCAGGGCGTTTATCTGATGCTTGAGCCAAAGGACCTTGCACCACCAATCGGCCCCACGGCGACCCAATCTACTGTCAAGTCATTGACTCCTGTTAGACAAAAGAACAATAGTGGCCAAGGACCAGAAACTGCTAAGGGGTCTGGAGGTGGAGTTTAACAGCCTTCTATCATACATGCCGAGTGTTTTAGTATATTGAGACATCGGAATATCCCAAATACTACCCCAATATTATCCTTTTCTCTGAAACTTGCTGCTTCGATTTTTCCCTCTCTTGTACTTTGTTCTGCATCTATTAACTTCGTTAAGAGTCTCATTCCGGTTGAAATAGGATAGAAGCAGGGAGGCCTTCTATAATAATTATTGTACCATTGTACTTAATGAGAACTTCCTTGCCTTAACTCGATAATTACTTTTTTCGTAACCTAATACGAATTACGATTCTCATTTATAGTGTCCCCCCACCCTCTCTACGAGTGGTGTTTTGTTAATACAGCTTACTTGTGCCCTAACTTACTTGAGTACGCTCCACAGTAAACAATCGGAAAAAAACATTGGTATGATATGATACTATACTCGAGTGTAGTAAAGTTAGTGCATCGAAATATCCACTGGCGATCACGTGGTGCACAGCAGATGGGGCTTGGCGGGACCCGAAATTTCAAAGTGTATCCATATGATACTCGAGTATGATACGGTACGAGTACTGTACTTGTACTTGTACCTATACCATCTAGGGTCTTGTGCAAGAGCCGCAACCGCCGCTAATGTTTCATGCTCCCAGACCCCACCACCCATCTCCGCTATCCTGGTCAATCCCTGTGCTCCATCGCCACCCCTCATCACCAATGATATGGTACTAATTCCAGCGCCGTTACATCAAGCGTCGTAGCAGCCTTCTCATGCTCGCACGCCAATGTGGCCGCCATGGCCGCCGTCCACTCACAGGCCTTCGGCATCGACCTCTCACATCAAGATTTGAAAATTCTTTGTACGGTGGTTCACCGAGCACGGGCAACTCTTCATCAATCTGGATCACGGATGAGGCGCTTCGGTGGGCCTTTTTGTCTTTTGCAAGAACGTTTTCACAATCACCGCAGACATCAGAGAGACTCCAGGCTGAGCTAAGAAAGGAGAGGCGGTGGGCGGAGGAATCGAAATCTAGGTCGTCATTGCCGCCGTCGGGGGTGTCAACGCACGGATGGGGCGATGTCCCACCGACTTTCAGCTGGAGTTTAAGTCGATATAAGGATCGAACGCCATCGCTGGATGGTCTGTCCGTCTTTTACCCTTGATTGTTACTATACCGCATGATCGAATCGAATTCGCTCACGGACAATTGCAGATCCATTTATGTCGGCTTTCCGCACTCGGGTGACTCCTCCTTCAGCTATGAATCGGCCGACGCGGCCGAAAGGCTCGCACTACCAACCGCCACGTCCCGACGGCGCTTTCTTCAATTCCATACTCGAACCATTCACAGCTATTTTCTCCCCGTTTAGTGCATTACCGCCGGAGGCCCCTTGTGCTCCGTTTAGTACTGTGCAGGAGTCATTTGAATTGTTGGATGCTCGTATTTTGGCTGGAAAATCGACAAGTACGGCTATTAAGGAATACAAAACACTCAAAACTATCGAACCTGGCTTACGGCTTACTGGCCCCGCTGTCATCGTGTTGTTGCGGAACCTGTTGAAGCTAGGAGTACCTACGCCAATTTTGGAAGTCCTAGAGATGGAGAACTTAATGGTTGATGAGGGCATAAGGCTATTGAGGGTTGCCATGGAAGGACTTAGCTTGGAACAAAGACGAAGAGTTGCCGGAAGACTCCTCGAAGCTGAGGGGCATCTGCACCGGAAGCGATTTAGAACCATATTGTCGGAGGAGATCAAGTCCTTTGAGACCGAAGAGGTTATCGTGAGGAATGGTAGCGAATATGTCAAAGACATCAAGAAGGCGCAGAGCCGCAACGAAATGCGCAAGCTCCTCGACGAAATAGTCTTAACAAAGGTAGCCATCACAAGAAGGACAAGCCAACTTATCGCCTCTCGGCTCGTTGATCTCAACGAACTTGGTTTGGGTGTTTCCTATGCTCTAGAGCCCCTCATAAACATTTCTCAGAGCAACTTTATTGCAACGATCTGCGATGCTCTCTGCGACGCAAATCAATATGGCAGAGGTTACGAACTCATAATGAAGGCCCTCAAAACCGGGAAATATGGTCTCCTCTCAGATCTGGACATGAAGCGTGGCGTGCGAACGATTGACACCATGTCCCAGCCCCATCTCCAGCTCTACAATCTCTGGGATGCGATGAAGTCTTCCTCATCCATATATCCACGCGACCTCTCCTACAACACTTACGCCGCCTTCCTCGGCCGTGCTACGAAGCTACGATTTGGCCTGCGAGGTAGTCTTAGAGAAGGAGGAGGCGAAACCCCACTACTAACCATGTCAATCGAGATAATTGTCCGTTTCACAGATCAAGAAAAAAAGATGGCCCGGGGTCTCATAAGCTCTATGCTTGAAGCCTGGATATGGTCTTGGGGCAGTACATGCTCGAAAAAGCCCGATTTTCAAATCCTCGAAGACAGCATCCCCTTCATGGCGCCACTGTTCAACATCCTCCCGCCCGAATCCCGCGACCCGGCAATTCTCATGGCCGTCGAGCGGACAACAACCAACTGCATTAGGAGCGGCCGCGAGGTCTGGCCCCGGGGGATAATCTGGCCATTCGTATCAACATTAGCGCAGGCAAAGATCTGGCAAGAGGAAGAGAGCATTGGCCTTTGGGCCACGGAGCGGGTACTACTTCGCAAGCGTCTAGCACCAACATACCTCCGCTACCGCACTGACGCCGAAATCGCGCGGTTCGTCGCAAGACATTACCTTCCGCTGCGATTGGGCCTGACAGGACCAAAGCGCACGACGCGGCAAACGGGGGACGCGGAGCGACTCATGGTACGCATGCGCTCGCTGGAGCGCGGCGCCGCTAGCTTCCCAAGCCTGAGCGTCTTCGCCCTCGCAATCCTGGCGTTCAAAGACACGTGCATCTCCTCTACCACCCTCCTCATCGACATGTTGTACACCCTCCACCGTCTCCATCGATACGCCGAAATCCCCCCACTCCTAGCCTCCCTAAAATTCTACAACATCTCGCCCCCGCGCTCCGATATCGCACGGCTAATCCGCCTACTGACGAGAGCCCATCCAACCTCCGCACTAGAACTCCTCCAGATATACCCAGACACCCAATACTCCGTTTTCGCACAATTCATCGTGCGGACCGCAACCCTGCACCCGGACCTCGCGCTGCGGGCATACCAACTCCTGACACCGCCAACACTGCACTACTTCTCGCGCTTCCAGCCGAAGATCCCGGGCCGCAGGCTTCCCGGCAGGAAGCTGCTAGTCGCGATGGGGTGGAACTTTGCGAATTCACCGGTTCTATCGCCGAGGCAGTGTCTTCGCTACGCGCAGAGGTGCTTGAGGGCGATGTTGGTGCTGGGATTTGATCCTGGGCCGAGGATGGGGTGGGCTATTGCCGTCGCCGGTGTCGAGAGGGCGATCCACGCGGAGATTCCGGTGAGGAGGGAATGGGAGCGGATGAAGTGGGTGCTGGAGACTGTCAGGAGGAATGCAGGGCCCAAGAGGGCGAGGGAGGTAGATCTTATATTGAGCAGATGGGAGAAGAATGTTTGGAATGGTAGTGTAAGTAGGAGGGGGGGGCAGTGATTGCCGGTGTATATGATCCAGGGGCGATATTTCGGGTAATTCGCTTCCCATCCCTCACCTTTTTCGTCGATCGGGCGAGTGTAAATAGCAATAGCAGTGTGGATGCATGTGTGATTAACAATAAGGCCACTCGAAAGAAGTAGCAGAGATGACTGGTGGCTGTATATAAAGTACCAGGTCAAATCGTTTCGTCCGGCGATGCAACCGCAACTCCACCACCACTATAAATTTACTACCTAGGCAACCACAACTACCCGGAATAAAGTGAAAATTTAGTTAGAGATTTAATAGATATAAGAAAATTCTCATGTGAAATTATAGAATAAAAAAATCAATGTTTTGTGTACCATCCCTTTGCATCTAAAACAGCAGCCACTCTCCTTGGCATAGACTCTCACAGCCTTTCCAGAAAATTCCCCTCTATATCATGAGTCCAAACCTCATTAAGAGCTTCTGCTAAATGTCTTCTAACAGTTTCTGGACCACCCTTAGTTTTATGAATGTCAGGAAAGTACTGGTGTAGCTTTTCCTTTACCCTCTTCCAACAGTACTCAATAGGATTGAGATCGGGTGAATTGGGTGGCCATTACATAACCTGTATGTTATTTTCCTTAAACCAAGCCATAGTATCCTTTACAGTGTGTATCTTTGCACTATCCTGCTAAAATATAGGATCCACAACTGTGTCCTCCACCTCCTGCCAGATATCAACTAAACTATTTTCTAAAACTCCAATATATACAAATCTGTTCACACTCTTCTCAAAAATGGGAATCAGGAGACCTTTACTTTTACTCCAAATACAAGCCCAGACTATCAGCTTTATCCCAGGACCTTTTGTAAATCCATAAATGCAGTCCTTGTGTCACTTTTCCTCAGGTATTCTGAATACTCAAATATCCTTAAGATCTTTAGACTTTTCAACCATTCATTTATCACTAAATATAACATCCTCAAAGTCCTCCTTTGTCCCATCCTTATGCTCTATACTCCAAGCTAATCTCTTGACAGCATGCTCATCTTCCAGAAGAGCTCTCTTCCTTACTCTCTACTTCTTTATATTGACTGATGCTAAAGCTTGTTTGACAATACTCAGAGAGGCATTGTAATGATCCTACTGCTCTGTACTTAGTTCTTCAACAGGTAACAAGCTTACCTCTTCCATATCCCCAATACTCCAATAGTTCAAAGAGTTCTTATAGTCACTATTACTTCTGATAGTAAAGATAATACTGTAATGGCATTATCTCTTATAAGCGAGACCTTTTTCTCATATAGCATTGCGTAAGGTGGATATAAGAGATCAATTCAGCTTCGTAGTATAGGAAAGAACTTAAGTGGTTGCAAGAGGAGTCTGTATCGGAGGTCCATTTTTTTTTATTTTTTATTTTTTATTATTTTTATTATCATGTATTCATTGTTAAGGTACAAGAACTCGCATGTAGCGCCAGCTATAGTGTAAACAAAACTTTAATCTCAAAACTAAAACAAACAAAGAAAATCAAACTAGTACCTTCTAATAATGCTAACAACCCATATCACAAAGCACAAACTGCTAATTATAAAAGGAAAAATTCAAATTAAACATAAGAAAAAACCGATCATAAAGGAAAATAACCAAGAGAAACTTCCCTCCCCCTGTATTTAAACCGGGATAAAGAGGTAGACATGTAGACTGATCAACTATTGGACCATGGTGGGGGGGCAGGATGTCACGAACGTGGCTTAGTGAGGAAAGGGTTGTCACGTGACACATGGTTATGAGTCACAGGTATGTTATCGTTTCACACACATGACCTATTCGGGTTATATGATTAGTTATGTGTGGGATTTGTGATGCTTTCGCACATGGCTCAAGTATGAGTCATGGGACATGTGCCTGACGAGTATGCCTTACGAGTGTGCCTTACGGGCAAGCCTTGCGCATATGATTTATGTTTCGCACATGACCTCATTATGATGTCATGGGTTTTGTGCATATGACTCAGTCGAGTCATATGACTTGTTTATTGTGTTATGATTGGTTTATGAGTTTCGCACATAACCTCGCTATGAGGTTATGGGTTTTGAGCATGTGATCACTTTGGTCATATGACTAGTTTGTTATGATTTAGTTTCATACATGTGACCACTTTAGGTCACATGACTAAAGGCAGGAAGAACACTATATAAGGAGGCCGATGCAGCCGAGGAAGATAGGTTCTTCACGCTTTGTTCTAAGTACTTTTCCTACTTATTACTTTAACGAATATAAAATACCTTTACGATCTTTATCTTTATTTCAACGTTATCGTTACGCCAAGGAAGGCACTTTACGAAGAAGAGTTAGAGAAAGTTTACGATAGGCGGTCCCGGTAGAAGACAAGGGTCTTGTACTATCGGTAACATAGGCAGAGGCCTAGAGCTATCGTAAGACAAAGAGAAGAAGAAGACAGGAAGAGAAGTATCGTTCCCCATCGCCAAGCACTAACTATCCAAAGAGGGATCGTTACACAGGATCCCTAAATGCAGTCATCTTAGGGGAGAAACCGGTCAAGATAACAGAGATGTAGGTGGAAAAAAGACCCAGGAGGGCCGGTAGCAACCAGAGGAGCTCATCGTTGTAGAGACTCTCGATCTGTGGGAGGTGAAGATGTCCAGCATGCTAGCGGGAAGGGTAAGTGAGGATGTGGTCGGGGAAGGTCTTGCGCTACATCTCATAATAGGAACAGACATCCGAGGCATCCAGGTCTCTCCAGGAGTGGTGACCTGTTAGGTGAAGACAACTCGATAAACCTCAGAGTTGTCTAAGCGAATCAAAATTCATTTCTGTAGACCTAGATTGTCTGAGAAGGCTTGGACTTCACTCGTTTCGTTTATGACTACTAATAGTGAAGTAAAATAAGTAAAGTTGAATTGAATCATAAAGACAATATAATATTATTAAGGTCTCTTCTCCATTGCTTGATGATGTCTAAAGCTTATAGGCACTTTGATATTTATATTCCATGTCTGAGTGCTTGTGGACTACATCTATTTATTATACAACTATGTACCTCTCTGATCATAACTTGTAATATTTGGTATTCTTAAAAGATGTGAACATTAGGAAACCCTGAAAATCACCACACCCTCTTCGGCAATTATGATATAACTAACTGCAAACCATACTCTTCTCAATAGTAATTATCCAATCATTAGAGTCTTTAGACTTACAGTCTAGTTCTCAAGTCGAACTGAGTTGGCCCCAATTGTCTTCATCGTTGATAAAATGATCAGCTTCATCAGCAGGTTGTACCTGTAAAGATAGTCATAATCGCAACCTTTCTACGTTGCCTGACTTCAAACCTTCTAAACTCCTTACCTAATCAATAAATATCTTCGGGAAAACTTGCTACTAATTTACAAGACGGTATTATACTGGATTGATAGATAATCTCACGGTCGGCAACCCGCAGATAAAACAGATTATTTCATCAATGATGGAGACAATTGAGGCCAACTCAGTTCAACTTGAAAACTAGGCCATAAGTCTAAAGACTCTAATGATCAGATAACTACTATTAGGAACAGTATGGTTCCTCATTAGTTATATCATAATTGCTGAAGAAGGTGTGGTGATTTTCAGGCTCTCCAGGCATTTGTATCTTTTAAGAATACCCAACATTACAAGTTATAATCAGAGAGGTACATAGTTGTATAATAAATTGATGTAGTCCACGAATACTCAGACATAGAATATAAATATCAAAGTGCTTCTCAGGCTTTAGACATCATCAAGCAATGGAGAAGAGCTTTAACAATATAATATTGTCTTTACAATTCAATTCTACTTTACCTATTTTACTTCACTCTTAGTAGTTATAAACAAAACGAGTGAAGTCCGAGATTTCCTAGACAATCTCCATCTACAGAAACAAATTTTAGTTGGCCTTGACAATACTGAATTTTATCAAGTTGTCTCCATCTAACAACCTGGTACTTCCACTCAGTAGATGATTCCTCTCTTTTGGTTCTGGTTTATTCAATCACATAGTAGGTTTTTATATGTGTCGAGGATGGAGTAGGTTGATTGGTTTTTTAGATTAGAGACATCTCATGGGTGGATGTGGTAGTTCACTTCCCTCATAGGTGACAGTTCTTCTGGGATCTGATCAGGAAAAACATCAGAGTATTCATCCAATATGTGTTGGGCAATTGCTTTACAGACTGTGGCTCAGTTTTCTCCACTGGTTGGTTTGCATAAGACTCTAACCTTCTGTTCTGGAAAATCGATAGTAGATTCTCCACATCTGATTATAGCCTTATGGCAGTTTAGAAATAGCATCCCAATCAGGGCATCATATTTAGCTAGTTTTCCTACCAGCATCTCCTGAGGTGGTCGGGTGGTGGAACCAAGTTGGACAGTTGTGTTACAAGTCTTATGACTGGTGGACTATAATCCCTTTACTGCCATATTGACTAGTATGGGCTGGTTAAGGTCTCGGGTTGGGAGTCCATAGACAGAGACAAAGGCATTACTAATCATATCTCTTCTAATTGTGCCAGTATCGAAAAAAAACACAGGCTTTTTGTCCATTGATTAGGATAGTACCTTCGAGGGCAGTATGGGGTTTGAAGGTAGCAGGTGGTCAGATACTGTTACATTCCATATCAATATATCTGATGTGAATTTTCTCATATTTACTAGATTAGGCATTGTCACTATCACTTTCGATGTTATTGGCTGATATCTCTTGTTTATTAGCTTTTCCTTTACGCTTCTTAGTAGGGCAATTCTTTGCCATATGTCCGGTCTTTCTATATTCACAGCATTCACCCTTCTGACATCTTGATTCCTTAGTAGACTTTGTTTTCTTCTTGACAACTCTGGTGTTTCTTCTTCAGAGTTGTTGGAGAGTTTATGTTAGAGTTGTCTATTACTGCTAGAGGATGACTGAGTTTTGTATGCCCCAGTTTTATAGAGTATAGTATCCTTTCAATCAGTCTTTTTGATTATAGTCGTCATGTTATCGCCATCTTCTTCAAGTAGTTCTACTTTTTGTTGTAGAATAGGGTGCATGGTATTATAGAATCGTCTCTTCAGGATGTATTTAAAGATATATTCTTTCTTCATTCGGTCCCTATACATTAAG